TTTAATACATTTTATGCTGCACAATATTTTTTTATTTACTAATTATCGTCCTTGTTGGGATTAAGCCCAGCACCCGTTTCAGGCCACACGCTGCAGGCCCAATCACTCATCCACTGGCCCAAAGTGATGAGACATGCCCATGTGGGCAGTAAAACGTGGGCCAATGAGAAGCTTACATGTGCGAATGCATGTCAGCACTTGAGGGTATAAATACCCCCCAACTACCTCCGAAGAAGGTAAATACCCCCCAATGAGCATCTCTTTCTAGAATATCGAGTATTGCTGACTTAAGCGTCGGAGTGTTTTCCCCGAGGAAACATCCTCGGGATTTTCAGGTGTAAAAGCAGCTGAGAACTTCAACAGTGTTGGATTACGAAGTTGCCTAAACATTTGGCGCCGTCTGTGGGAATCTGAACAGGAAGTTGTGTAGCTTAACCTACTAAAAGGCAAAATGGTTCGTACTTTTAATGGAAGTCGCCTTCCAAGAAATGAAATGGACGAACAGGAAGACACTCAACTGTCTTAGCCTGGCTTGAATGATTTTAGGCCAATGCCAAGAAACCTTTTCGTAGGAGGAGCAGAACAAGATCAATTAAGTGAAACAGATGATGATGAAAGAACACCAACTGGGTATGCAACCCAGCCTGAACAATTTCAAATTCCAACAGGAACAAGACAAAGATATCCCAGACAAGGCAATGCACAACATGAATGACCTGAAAGGCCAACAGAGCATGCTCGGACAAACGAGCTCAAAGAAAGAACCAGGATTCTTGAAATGGCAATGGGTAAAATCCTTGCTCGCCTGATCCCTGACGACCCCCTGATTCCTTTGTTGAACAGGGATGCACAGCCAGCTGTTGTTGTTGCAACTCGAAACTCCCCCGCTCTGAGCAATATAATAGTACCAACCAAACCAAGAGGAAGTGGGAAGTTAAATAACGAGCCTAGCTCGTCCAAGCACAGTGAAGAACTGATGAGAAAGAATGCAGACCTTGAGAGGCAGCTACGGGACGTACAGAAATCCATTGACGAGCTGAAGAGTCCCAGGTCGCACCAACAGACCTTGGATTTGGATAATGCGCCACTAAACCTATCCATCACAGTGGAACCGTACCAAGAGGGATTCAAAATCCGCCACCTAGAGACGTATGATGGCTTGGGTGACCCAGATGAACATTTGCACACCTATTAGGTCATCATGAGAATTCAAAATGCCAATGATGCCATGATGTGCAAGGTGTTCCCGGCGACATTGAAGTCAACGGCCAGAAGATGGTATCATAAACTCCCCAGACACTCTATAGACTCATATTCCCAGCTCGCCAAGCTGTTCTCCAACAAATTTGCGAGCCAAAGGGAGATTAAACGCACAGCAACCAAGCTGATGCAAGTTCATCAGAAAGAAGGGGAATCTCTGAGGGACTACATGCAACGATTCAACAAGGCTACTTTAGACATTGACAATGTCCCCGATACCATCTGCTTGTCTGCCTTGCTGCATGGTTTGAAGCCTGGCCGGTTTCTAGACGACCTGCTAGAGAATCCACCTAAGTCGTGGAATGATGTAAATGACAGGTTAGCAAGCTTCATACTGTCCGAAGATTTTCAATCTTCCAAAAGATGAGCTGATGATAGATAGGGTAAAGAGCCCAAGCAACCTGAAGGTAGAGACGAAAAGAAAAAACAGAAGGTTGGCGAGCAGAGAGGAAAACCGCCTTCCTATCCTAAATATGACAACTACATCCCCCTGAGCTCGTCAAGATCCCAGATATTGGCGCAGATACAGCATTGGGTCAAGAGACCCCCTCCCCAAACGCATGACTCTTCACGAGCTGACAGAAGCAAGTATTGTGACTACCACCGTGGATATGGCCACAACACAGAAGACTGTCAAAGCCTGAAGGACAAGCTTGAATTTTTAGCTCGCAATGGAAAGTTGGAGGGGTATGTACAGAAGCCTTTTGTTCGACAACCCACCTAGACCCATTTTGTGCAAGAGTACGGCCGATCTCAAGCACCTGGATATTAGCTCGGTAGCAATCCAACCCCTTACCAGGCGGGTCAATACTCATCTGAGCCGAACAGAGCATACAGGGGACGCCCATTCAATAGGCGCGGGCAAGGACAGAAAGCATCCACATATAACCAAAAGGATCACAGAGGGGTTGGATATAGTGGGATACCCCCACCATCTGGCACAATCAACATGATCTCTGGTGGTATGCACGCAGAGGGCCCAAGCGCCCGAGGCCGCAAGGCGTATGCTCGCCAGGTGATGACTGTTAATAAGAACCGGCCTCTTAAGCGCCCGTTTGAAGAAGCAGAGTGGGAAAATGCGCCAATCACATTTAGCCCGACAGACTATAAGCGAGCAGAAGGAGAACCCGACGTTATGATGCCTCACGCAGATCCTTTCGTGGCAACAGTCCATATAGGCAATCATAACGTCAACAAGGTCTTCATTGATACTGGAAGCTCACCAGATATGTTATACTGGAGTTGCTTTCAAAAGATGCAATTGAATCCAAGCTCGCTACAGAAATATGAATGGCCCATATATGGGTTTGATAACCAACCCATCCTGGTTGAGGGAGTTATTACTCTTCCCATATATGTGGGCTCCGAACCACGCTTCAGGATTACGCTTGTTAGCTTTCTGGTCATGAAGATGGAATCAGCTTTCAATGCTATACTGGGAAGAGCCACCATCTGCGAGCTGAAGGCCATCATCTCACAGCCTCATCTCTGCATGAAGTTCCCAACTCCTCAAGGGGTAGGAGTACTTAAGCGGAACCAAAAGATGGCCAGAGCCTGCTACCAAGACACTTTCAAGAAGGTTGAGCTCGCTGCAGCCCCGGCAGGTTCTGAAAATCGCAAGCCAACCTAGCTCGGTCAACAGACAATGAGCATATCAGATATCGAACACCGACTTGAGGGTGTCGAGCAGAAGGCTGAGCTGGTAGAACCGGTGGAAACGGTCGCTTTAAACCCTGATGTGCCAGAAAGAACAGTTAAGATCGGCACCAAACTCACAGAGGAAGAACGAGCAGAGCTTCTGGAGTTTTTGAGGGTTAATCAAGATGTGTTTGCGTGGAGTACGGATGAAATGCAGGGCATTCCAGCAGAGTTGACAGTCTATAAGCTTAGCACGGACCCCACCAAAAGGCCGGTGGTTTAGAAACGTCGCCTTTTTGGCCCTGAGAAGTAGGTTGCTATAGATGAAGAGATACAAAAATTATTACAAGCAGGCTTCATCAAAAGAGTTGAATACTCTGAGTGGGTGTCCAACCTTGTGCTCGTCAAAAAACCCAACGGCAAGTGGAGGATGTGTATTGATTTCACCAATTTAAATGAAGCGTGTCCGAAAGACCCTCATCCCTTGTCAAATGTTGAAAAGCTAGTAGAGCGAGCAGCAGGGCATGAGCGAATGAGCTTTCTTGATGCTAGCTCGGGTTATCACCAGGTTCAATTGCTACTGGACAATCAAGAGAAAACAGCTTTTTACGCCGGTGACGCAATTTACTGCTATGTCATGATGCCGTTTGGTCTGAAAAATGCTGGTGCAACGTATCAGAAGCTGGTGCAAATCATCTTTAAGCTCCAAATCGACAGGAACATAGAAGTATATGTGGATGACATGATAGTCACCAGTGTGCGAGCTGAGGACCATATAGCTGACTTGAGTGAGACGTTTCAGAATTTGCGCCGAGCCCAGATGAAGTTGAATCCCCTGAAGTGCACGTTCGCTATAGAATCAGGAAAATTCCTAAGGTGCGTAGTATCCAAGAAAAGAATTGAAGTGAATCCAGAGAAGGTTCAGGCCGTTCAGCAGATGGAGCCTCCCAAGACCATAAAGGATGTGCAGCGCCTGACAGGTCGTGTAGCCGCGTTGCACAGGTTCATAGCCAGATCGGCAGAAAGGTGCCTCCCATTCTTTAAAGCCCTGAGAGAGCCCAAGAACTTTCAGTGGACAGATGAATGTCAGCAGGTGTTTGACAAGCTTAAACAATATCTAGCATCAGCACCTCTACTGTCCAAGCCTGTGGGAGGGGAGAGTTTATACCTGTATCTGGGGGTCACAGAGGAGGCCACAAGTTCGGTTTTACTAAGGGAAGAGAATAAGCATCAGAAGTTTATCTGTTATGTGAGCAAAGTTTTGCAAGGTGCCGAGTAGAACTACCCACTAGCAAAAAAGGCTGCTTTTGCCTTGGTGTACACGGATCAAAAATTGAGAGCTTACTTCCAGTCACATCAGATTGTCGTTTACACCGATCTGCCATTGAGAAAGATACTGTAGAAGCCGAAACTCTCTGGTCGGCTTATCGGGTGGAGCGTCGAGCTGAGTGAGTATGACCTTAAATTTCAGCTGCGGACAACCATAAAGGGCCAGGCTGTGGCAGACTTCCTTGTGGAATGCATCTCGGCCACTGTAGAAGAAAAGGCACCCGAGCACTCAGTATGGGTCTTATATGTTGATGGAGCTGCTAACATTGAAGGATTGGGTGTTGGGGCTGTGTTAGTGGGCCCATATGGCTTTAAATCCGAGCATGCACTGAGGTTTAAGTTTCAGACAACTAATAATGCTGCAGAATATGAAGCCCTCATTTATGGATTGAAGTTAGCGTCCAAGCTGAAAGTACAAAGCATTCAAGTTTTTAGCGATTCTCAGCTCGTTGTAGGCCAAGTGAATGGCAGCTGTGAAATCAGGGATCCCTAGCTTGGTCGTTATGCTTCTGTGGTCAACAGATTGAAGTCAAGATTTGTCTCTTTCCAAATCGACAAAATACCAAGAGCAGATAACCACCAAGCTGACGAGCTGTCAAAATTGGCCTCCTCGCAGGACCTTAACCCTCATAGGTCAACAATTGTGAAGGTACTTGATGCTCCCAGCTACATCGATTTCACAGTCGAGTGTCAGCTGCTCAGCACAGATCCCTCTTCACCGAGCTGGACTACCCCGCTCATTGATTATCTACACAGTGGCGAGCTGCCTGAAGATCCGTCCGCTGCAAAGTTGATTAAACGCAGAGCGGCTCATTTCACGTTGTTAGATAATCAGCTCTACAAACGAGCAGCCTCAATACCCCTATTACGCTGCCTCACTCCTTATGAAGCTGAATACGCCGTGAGGGAAGTTCACGAAGGAGTATGTGGCACACACATAGGTGGTAGAACTTCAGCTCAGAAACTCCTGAGGCATGGGTATTACTGGCCAACTATGGTTGAGGATGCACAGAAGTATGTCAAAAAGTGCCCGACCTGCTAGTTCAACGCTGATGATATTCACATGCCAGGTATCTAAGCCCATTTTAAAGTTCGTGCAAACTTCTTATTTGTCTATAAACTGAGCATAGGTATCTTCGTTGAAACAGGAGAAATGCTCTCATCACTCTCATCTCCCTGGCCTTTTGCTCAGTAGGGAGTCAACCTGCTCGGCCCTTTTGTTAAAGGCAAAGGAGGTTGCACTTACCTCGTTGTCGCGATGGATTACTTCACCAAATGGATAGAAGCTAAACCATTGTCCACGACAACAGAAAGGAAAATAGAAGAATTCTTGTTCAATTCGATATTGTGCAGGTATTCTTTGGTGACTTAAGTCATTGATACATTATATGCAAATATAGTTTGTGGCTTAGCTCGGTCGTCTGTGCATAGGTTCGGCATACCTAAACAGATCATCGCTGACAATGGTCCCCAGTTCCAAGCCGCCGCATTGAGGTCGTTCTGTAATGACTATGGCATTGAGCTCGCCTTGACGTCTGTGTATACTCCACAGTCCAATGGACAAGCCGAGTCTGCCAATAAAATCGTCCTAAGAGGCCTCAAGACGCGTGTTTTGGCTGCACATTCTAATTGGGTTGACGAGCTTAATAAAGTGCTTTGGTCATGTCGCACTACACCAAGCTCAGCCACAGGCGAAACCCCATTCAGCCTTACTTATGGAGCTGAGGCCGTCATCCCAGTAGAGGTCGGATTGCCATCTGAAAGAGTAGGTCGGCACAACGATCCTAACAATGAGCAGCTTTTGAGAGAGAACCTAGACCTCGTGGAAGAGGTCAAGGAGATGTCTCGAATAAGAAACATGGCGCATCAGAGTCGTGTTGCAAAATTTTATAATAAAAGAGTTCGAGCTCGTCAATTTCAAGTCGACGACCTGGTTCTACGCAAAGCTGGATTGACCAATGTTTATTCACATATGGGCAAGCTCGCTCCTAATTGGGAAGGACCTTATATGGTTATTTCTATTCAGCGACCTGGATCTTACTAATTGGCAGATTTACAAGGTCGTCCATTACCATTCATTTGGAACATACATAATCTTAGAAAGTTTTACGGTTAACATGTATGTTATTAATGTTCAGGTCGTTACGGATCATTTGTAAACAGCGATTTACAGAAAATTCAATACAGAAATTTCAACAGAAAAGATTCGAATTTGTATTTAATGAAGGTTTAATACCCTTTTTGGTCCCTCTACTATAGGAAAAAGCCCTTTTTTAGTCCTTGTACCGAAAAAATCCCCTTTTTGGTCCTTACTGTTCACAAATCCGGCCCCTTTTTAGTCCTTCCGTTAAATTTTAGCTAATGTGGCAGGTTAATTAACGGAAACACTCATTAATTTTTTTTACTAAATTACGTAGAAAATCCACATAGTAAAATTGATGACATGTTAAATTTTTTATCTTTAATTACTTATATACCCTCATCTTCTTCCCCGGCTTCTTCTTCC